CCAATAAAATACCAATATTTATTGGCCCCAGTAAATATATTTTAAAAATATTGTTGACAATCATTGCATTCGTATACTGCGTACTCTTAAACAAAATAACCATATCCAAACCAAGTTAAATTGTACATTGGTTGATCACACTGTCATATCGGAAATGCTTCACCTCACACGCAAACCGTAACTATTTTCAGTTCCACTGAGTGTCTTTCGATAGTAGTTCGATTTCAAGTAGTAACTCAATCATTCGTCGAGTGGTCTATTGAGATACAAAGAAAAAGGTTCATATTTCAATGTTAGATCAGCATCGCACTTATAGATAGAGATATATCTTAATATTCGTCGATATGAACAAGACCTGCACACGAATACTGTAGCAAGACAAGTTTATAGGGCGACATCGAGATCACGGGAAAAGACCATTTTCAATTGGTTACCGCCAAAACCCTCGATGGCACAGTCATGCAGGGCTGGCACAACACATTTCACCGGTCTTAAACATTGTTTCGATCCTTGAGCGTCTTCATGAGCAGATGGTCTAGGACCAGACGTACCACGAGGAGTGCATTAATGACTACGGCGAGCTTGCGGATGAGACAAACGACTTGGCCTCCTAGGACAATCCGGTCAACGACAAAGTCATGGTGGAAGGTGACAACGCGGCGATAAAAACCTTTAAAAACGTCACTTCGGAGAAGTTTGAAATGATGTGGACTGTTGTCGAACCCGCCATGGTCGTGCCTTGGTCCGATGGACAAGGCAGCAAGTCTGTCACAACCGCTCGAGATGAGCTCTTCATGACCTTGGTCGGCTTGAGTACTGCCAAACCTGGGTAAAACATGGGCTCGACTTCGGACTTAAAGCACCTACGCTCGAGAAAATGGCCTTGCGCGTCGTCAGCATCGTCGAACCGATACTCAACATGCACTTTTCACCGTCCCTGCATTGGAACACACCATCTCACGCTGTCTTGACCTAAAACACACCTTTCGTCACTTTCGATACGCCTTGTCGGCGACAGAAGTTAAGTTCTCAGCCCACGCACCGATCGTCTGTGCGCTTTGCGGAGCATAAGCTATTCTACAACGGAAAGCATAAGCTCTAAGGAGTCAAAATCAAAGCGTCAGTGTAGCCTCAAGGTGTGCTGGTCGGTATGAGCTCCCACGATCCTGGGTCGTGTCGGACTTGACGCGTTCAGGTCACGCATCGACTTCCATGTTGAAGCCCTTCGGAGGCGTCAAGAAGAGTCAGCAATCAACGACAACGGCGACTGTTTCAAACGCACCCAAACCACTGGACCGTGTTGGTTGACCAGAGGAAATAGGTCTTGTTGCGGACGTGCGCGCTGTCCATCCGAAGAAAAAGCCAGTGAATGCGACGGTCGACCGCGCTGACCTTGACCGCAACGCCGCAGTGTCGTCCGACCGTGTCATAGTCGAGAATTTTTTTGGTCTATCTCCGATGGAAGTTTTTCTACTCGACCTACGTATGCTCAACCAAGTTTTAAGATTTTCTACAGCGTCTTACCTATACCCTGACCAACTTCTACGTTGTTTTGCTGCTGCTCCGCCAAAATGATTAAGATGTGTACCGCTTGGTTGTCGCCCGGAATTGGCATTGCTCTTCGGATGCTCAATTTTATTCAGTACCACTCTGTCGAGTTTTTATCAAGTTGACTGTACGCGCGCATGGCCGATGAGAAGAAGCGAACAAATCGATCAATCAGCGCTGCTACGGTCAGCACCGCGCTGAGCGCATGGCATCCCAGTGGTTGCGCTCTGCTGTCTTGCCCGCAGTGGTTCGTTCTTGAGTCCCTCTGCGCCCGTCGTTATAATGAATAATTATACCCACCGTTGCCATGGCTTGGTCGCTCACAAGTACTGATAAGCCTTCTTCACATTGGTAGACAACACCACATGGTTCTGGCGTTTCGCGGCTTCGGCGTCAATTTTGATCGCCGTCCGCGACACTTCCGGGACCGACAACAACGACTTTGGTTTCACATGACTTCTGTGTCCACGCTAATGACCTCGCTTCGGGGTCGCCTTGGTGTCGATCGCTTCGTCCATACCTGTGTGTTGGGAGTGTTCTGTCACACAGCTTCGACACTGTCTTGTTTGAGAGCGGCCATCTCAAAAGTCGCCTGAAACAACTGTAGCAAGCGCGGGTTGTGGGCATTCAACCGCAACACGAATGCGTTATACCGCTTGAATTTGTCGGGCTGGTTTAATTGCTTCATGCCCGCCACCAGACTTATCAGCTAGTATACGTTCTGGAAGAGCTGAACATCATCGACTGCATGATCTTGAGTAATATTAAACACCGCAGACTGAATCTTGGCCAAAGCGTCTCGCGCTTGACGCCAACTCGAATGGATGCCATCAGGAATGCGTTCATGGTCCAACACTTGCCTGGGGCCCGATCCACGCAAATCCCATACAGTGACCTTCTTCGGTGACCTGCTTCACAGGGACCATGGATGCAGACGGCAAGCCGGAGACTAAGGATCGTCCTGGCTGAATTGTAGGGGGCGAGCGCATCATGATTGCTGAAATGTTATCAGCGTCGTCCGGTTAATCGATGGAAGCCGAACTTTGAACGGTGGATCAATGACTACATGAATGATGGCCATCAAATTAGCCGTACTTGACCTCGGATAGTCGACCCAATAACTAGCTTCGGAACTTACAACACTTAGCCTGAACAGACACTCGACGACACCTAGAGGGACGACTCGTGCCACATGCACCCTTGTTTTTCAACAACTTCACGAATGACTCCATGTGACCCTTCGACGAATTTTAGCCTCCATTGTATTCTTCGCTGGCTCATCCAAAAATGTCCCAATGGACAACGATACCGTTGATTGGTGAAAAATCATAAGCTTTCCACATAACTTGTAGGGAGTTGATAGCGCAGAGGAAATTTGGAAGTGATTCAATTGTCATCGTTAAATCGTTCTAGC